CAGATCAGGAGCGTGTTCCAGTACTTTCACTTATATGGAACAACCAAAACTTCAAAAAACGTCGTGGAAGAAAGCCTTCATCTAGACGTCGGACGCAAATATCTCAAGCCGTTCCAAATACACCTGGACCAACTCGTGTTTCTCGTAGGCACACGTCCATTACAACACGAAGTATTCAGGATGATCACTCTCCTAATAGTGCTTTAAATGAGAGCAGACTACGTCAAGTAACCTTAGGATCTTTTCTTTCTGTTAGGACTCAGACTTCCCGGTAACTCCTTTTGCACTTCAGATTTTCTTAGTTTGTCTCTATTTCCTAAATCTCTGACATTAAAAAGTTAAAGATTGAATCTGTACATACAAAAAATTCTATTTGTTTTAATAGATTCTTTTTTTATGAAAACAGTAGGGTAGTTGCGTTATGCACCATTTTATCGTTGTTAGTGCTTATGAATCTTTTAGGACTTAATGAAATACCATCAGTTTGGCAAACACGATTGTTTTGTAAGATTACATGGTAATTTTGTATTGATTACTTTTATTATGCTTTCCCTAAAGGCCTCAATTTCCGTACAGTTATAAATTTAAGGACTGAATTTTATTTGGAATCCTTTAATTTTACGAAGTAATAACCTGTGGTGGGGATAATTGATCTTTTTAAATCATTCAAGTATGATTAGGTAGGATAAATCTACTTTTGTAAACATTGGTTTATTTATTGAGTCCAAATCAGGACTTACGCATTTTACATTATTTATTTATTTAAGCGCACAAAATATAGTATAACTACCAGAGATAGAGTGACCACACAAAATGTGGGTAAGATCGTAAGGAAAAGGAAGTACATTTAAAAGGGAAGTATAGTTAACAAAATAATTAATAAGAACGGTATGTGGTAAAATATATAGTTCAGTCAATAGCACACACACGGGAATTCGAAATTCCTGTAGTTAAATTCTCCTTTCGCAGCAGGATCGCCGTTCGTCGCTGTAACTCCAACCAAGGAGTCGCAATCGACTAACAGATGTCAATCCTATACTGACTTTCACATTACGGTGCCAAGCCATAAACTGACTACCGCATTTTTCAACCACTCCTAGTGTCATCAATCAACGTGCGCTGGGGTGACATTCGTATCACTTTCAAGTCACCGAATCTGGTTTTTAGGGGTTGGTGACATCAAGTGGATTTTCATCGCATTACTAATGTGTTGCAATTCCTCGGAGATGACGATAATCAGACACAGAGTCATCCAGCTCCCTAACTCGGAAAGGTTAGACTTTGTAAACAGGACGGAACTGTTCTCACCGACGCGTTCTAGGCCTGACGTTTTGTAGCCGAACTAAAATCACGATGACTTCAAAAATGTCCAAGATTGGCATAAGTCCTAATCTCTTTAGTCAAACAACTACCAACACAAATCTACCTAGATACCGGAACTTCCAATTACTTACCACCAAGGGTGAGTGCAGACAGGCTCATGCCAGTCTTGTAGAAGTACCTTTTACCTAGGAGGTACAAGGTTCATACAATACCTGAGGACACTGATTGTCGACCCATTAAATGCAATTTGTATAACTTTGATATGATTGCATGTCAAGACAATATTATCTGCATACTAAAGATAGAAAAGTCTTTCTTCAAGTAACAAATCTACACCACACCTACCCACTTCCATCAGGTGTTTCCAGTATGCGGTCGATGAGAAAGTTGACTGGATAACCCTGCCTAACCCCATTGCTTAAACGGAGAGATGGTTGTATGCCCTCGCTCTGCCTGTGGTGTTGATATATAGAAACTACGAATCGTTCATAAACTTTTCCAACACATCCTTCGACAAAATAGCAGTTATGTCTTGATATCAAGAAACATAACGATCTTTGGTCCTCATGTATGATGCTCTACCATTTGGTGGGAGGTGAACACATAATCAATACTTCTATGGCTAGAACGCGCGTTCTCCACGCGAATCAATCTCCCTCCGGTTTTGAACTATCTGCAGAATATGATAGAAGCTAATAGTTTGGACACGGTCGGAAGTAGATTTATACCGCCTAAAATTGTTGCCTAGATAACGTAGACCCTGTTTATAAATAAGGACTGTCGCTTCATTTTAAGATAATAGCTCCTTAAGTTTGCTATCATCCTTAGGAAGAGTCGGAAGTAAATTGTCTTGGTCAGGTGACTCATTGGGTTTCACAAGTAAAGGTTTCTGTGAACCCCCGTCTCGTTAGCCGGATTGGCTGTAACTGGCCAGGGAGGGCTGAACAAACTGGTTGACGTTGCCGCCACAGTAGATTAGTTGGTTTGTTTCTCGAAGGACCCGGTCCCCTTTGTTAATCAGTGTTGAAGTAAATTAGGTATCATATTCGCGCTGAATAAAAGTATACTCATTATGAAGTGCCTGTGTGAATCTACGTCATAGCAGTTACCTGGTCATTTAAGTTACCTCAAACTTACTGCTCATAAGGAATACTCAGGAGTTGTATAATTTATGATACCACAGGCATTTTGTATTTATCGAAAAAGTTCAGAACACATTTCAGAAATAGCTAGGAAAGTTATTTAACCGTGAGTGGTATCTGAAAGGCTGTGGAAACAGCAGTGTTCGTCAGGACTTATCCACTTCCCCAATTTTACTTTTGTAATAGACATGCTTTTAGATATAACACTTTCATCGTCTGACATTTCTTTAGTTGATCTTCCATCAGGAGATCCACTTGTTGACGCAAGTGATATAGTTCTGTTCGGTGAAGACGCTGACGAAATGTAGTCTTCCGACCACCTTAAGCAGCAATGAAAACATGTTTAAGATGCGATCTACATATCCAAATGCAAAATGCTACTTCAGGATGAACTTGCGTCAACGCCAAATTAATAGTAGAGAGTGAAGTGGTCGAACCCACTTACCGCTTCAGTTCTGACATTTGAAGAAATGCCGACTAGCTTTTGTCAACGTGGGTCACCGGTGGTATGGACGAGATATCCGTCTCACGATCAGTCTGCCTTGTTCTATTTTATGGATGTGTCCACTAAGGATAGAAGATATACGTGGGTTACTGGCATTCGCTCATAGGTGTCGTCGACAAAGTGCTCATGTATTTTGGAACCACGGAGCGAGCAATGTGTAGATTAGGGATAGGGTACTAGGTAAGGACGGCAAATCGAGTGAAGGTGATCTTAACGTATCTCCAATAACTGCTTATCTCGACGGGCGATATTGTTTGGTGAAGTAGGCTGAAATGAAGCCAAGAGCGGCAAGACACGGCTTTGGTTAACGAAGTCAACGATAGTTGGACTGAGCAATGATAAGAAGTGTAGGCTACCTCGAATAACATGGCTCAAAATCGTTTGCAATGGTGCACACGAATACACTCTTTGTCTTTCCCTAAATTCTAAGCTTTTGAATTGCTCATAAATTTTGTTTTAATTCCATTAATTTATATTCTCTCGAATCATATCTTCGATGCTTAATCTTTCCTATTACCACCGATACTATTGCTACCCCTAGTATTACGGGATCTAACCTGACAATTTCATCTCTCTGTGCTAACGGGATGTGGGAACTTGGGTCAATGTACATACATACCAGGTTCTATTGTGACTGATTTAGTATTTATTAGTTTTGTTTATCACGTTTAATAAGTCATAATACAGTGCAAGTTATAAGTATGATGGCAATTAATTGTGAACAATAACATTATGTCAGTTATTAAATTAGTCGACATCTTTCCAAAAAAAGTTTCTACGATTATTAAAAGTACCTTATGGGTCTTGAATCTTACTAATACCTCCACAATATCAATTTATTGGTGATGAAGCATTGTTGGTGCCATATTGTCAGAATTTATGTGCTATAAATGTTTTTAGTTAAGATTTAGTTGTCACGGGTCATATTGCGGGCTAGTTAACTGTCTTCCTAGTTAAAGTGATATGTATGCGATTTGATGAATTGCTTTAAATGGAGCATTTCATTCATAATTTGGTTTTTATAGTTAGGGAAAAACTAGTTTTTACGGTTTAGTAACCTGATTTTAGTGTCAGAAATTCATCTTAAACTGGCTCATGTACAAAATTGTGACTTTCAATCAATTCTCGCATGTTTACTAAGTGTAGTCACTATATTTGCTTCCTCGTTGTCGTCATTTTGGCGTGGAAAATGCCGAGTGAATTAGATAATTTTGAGTGCAGGTGTTTTATAGAAAAACCTATCTACATATTGGTATGCAATAGATTTGGGGTAATTTTTTCAGGTTGAAAGGGAAAAACTGTCACCTTGATGATAGCAGTGAGTTGCCACTTCCTTCAGAAATAATGATTCATTCTGGTTGTCTTGAGATTTGTATCTCTTTCCTTTTGATGACTATATATTTAATCTGTTACGTATGCCCAACGACCGACTGCCTCGACGTGCTATGTTCAGTGGTATAGGAGTAGGTTGGAAGAAAGCTAGGGGCGGCCAAACCAAAACATGGCACAAGTCCATGAAGTCACTGACAAGTGAACTGAGTCATGTTGGTAGGTGTAGATTACCTGGTTGGGGACCGCGAGGTGATAGCAACCGATGGTTAGAGACCCTGAATGACATGGCTCAAAATCGTTTGCAATGGCGCAGGTGCATCCACTCTGTGTTCTCCCAAATTCTAATCTTCTGAATTCTTCATGTCCTCTTTTTCCTCTTTCCAAATTTATTTCACTGTATTATACTCTTTAAATAACATCTCCAAACCCTAATCTTCCCGATTACTGCTTATACTCTTATTACCTCTACCACTACGGGATTTGAATCGACAACTGTATCTCTGTACTAATGTGGTGTGGCAACTCGAACTGATGCACGTACGTACGAAGTTCTACGTTGTTACTGACTGACTGACTGATATATTTGATCAACCGTTTTTGCCCCACAATAATATACTTCTTTAAGCTCACTTTATTAATGGTGTATTGGCCTGAAAGAGCGGTGAATGACACGCGAAACCTTACTCCTAGTTGCAAACCTGCTGACATACAGTTGTGATTTCAGAAGACTAATAAGATTACGAAAACACTATCACATTCGTAATGTAGTTTACACTTTTTTAGGACGACACCGTTTTTTCTGTTGTCTTTTCATTTTTATTTGTCTTTTGCGTTCTTTTTTACTTAGCCACACTGGGTAGGTTCCATGTTCATTACACAGTATTTTTGGCAAGCTTTTGGGAACAACTAGAACGTTCAAATAAAGCATATTGTAATCTTACTATCCATGTGATTTGAAATTGAGTCAACCAACTGTTCGGAAGAGACTGGATTTTCCTCACTTTTCTTGGTAGATTTTATTAACTGATCCTTGATTTGCTTAAAGCTACGTCTACGTCTAATCGCACGAAACCGTCTTTTTGATTTACTTCGAATACTTTTGGTCATTATAAACAGATCCTTTGATTGCCAGGTAGTCCAAAAATGTATGTCACAACTTGAAACGAAGTTTTAGCTTGTTTCCTAGATAATTTGGGTACTATCAAGCTGACTGCGAAGGATAATTAGGTATTGAAATGGTCGGAATGTACTTGTTTAAGACGAATATCTGAAGAGAAAATGTAGAGTAAACTCAGCACATACTACAAAACTGAGATGATGTGACAATCAACAAGAATTGATACAACAATAAAATCAAATCCAGTACAGTTACTTTTCAGAAAAGAATTAAGGATATTTTATGCTTTGTGAAGCATCATGGAAAACATTCATAAGCAAGAACAACGAATATAGGAGTATGTGACAGTGAGAAACGATTGGGGCCGTGAGATAACATTTTTTAAATAGTGTTTTTAATTATCTGGTCACATTCGTTTCACTTTAACTGTTTTTTTTTCTCGCCACAGTTTACATCATTTCTTAAACCCTGACTTGCCCCCAAATGCCCTGGTACGGCCGAGAGTGGGGAGAGTACGCTCTCCTTCTCGAAATGCTCTCACATGGCCACGCGTATTTAGCCTCTGCCAAGGAAGTCCTACTAACTGCCTTCTCGTGGTGGGGGTGTTGTTTACGAAGATGAGAGGATGAAAAGCGAATGTCCGGCGCTTTAACCGGATTCCAAACCAATGGTGCACATGGGCTCCAGTATCCTGAGGGGACAAATGGCGTATGAACCAATCGTTGGTCACCGGCTTCCATGGGACTGCATCTCCTTACGACGCTCCACTGCCTTGTGGATTAGACCTTCAGGTGGAAGGCTCGGGGCGTGGCCCCCTAGGAAAACCACCTGCTTCGGTTTGGGCACCCGGGCAGTACCACAGCCCTCACAAATATCGAATGAGATTTGTGTGGCGCATATGTATTTGGTGCCTCCTTGTACCAATATCTATGTGTTAAAATAAATAAATAAAACCCTGACTCAGTTAATCTAACTTGAAATATTACATCACTGGCCTAAAACTTCCATATTTAGTAACCCAAAACTTGCTACTCTGTTGAGCTTCAAATTAGCAGTAATGAACGTGTGGCCTAATAGCAGGGGCAAAATTTTAAACCGTCAAACTAGGTTGCAGTAATTTTAGTTATACATTAGTCCTTGAATCTACATAACAAATGTGAATAACCCTAACAATATGAGATAGGCTTTTTGAATGTTCCAATTTTAAATACTTAGGTATTAGTGACATTTATCACAGTCCGCACAAAAGAAAGATTATAACGGGAATCAGCATATCTGAAATAAACAAAGCACCCTCTCCCAAATATAATGAGCCTTGAGAATACAGTTTACGTAAGTGGCTGGTTTTTTATTTCTACCTTATTTCTCTCAAGTGTCACACTATTTTTGATACTTCTCACAGTGCATATGCACTGGTAAATTACAACAATTAGAAGCCTGTGTCTCTAATAACACGGAACGTAATAAGTTGAAAGAGATCAGTATGGACAGAAACTTATAGAACCACCAAATATATCTTTGAGTGGTGAAAGAAATGGACAATAAATTATAAATATGCGCCTTGATGGATCACCAAGAGCATTTAGTGAATGACTACATTTCAGGAAGTTTTTTTTCCAACAGTTTACTGGTATCAAAATTTATAGGTTTCGTTAGAAGTTCATCTGGTGGTCGGTTTCTAAAATAGTTTTACTCAGAACGCCAATAGATATTCGGGCAGTCGATTTTCCATGAGTTGTTTTCATTAAATTTACTTGTCGTGCAAAATCGATATTAAAATGGTAAATCCGTACATAACAAGCTAACTGACCTTAGTGAAGTTTTCAACAAAATTACTTACACCAGGTCAAGTTCAAAGACGGAGAAAACTACTTAAATATTCGGCAATTAATACTTGGTTTCAAGTACATAAATTTTGTTGGATTAAAATTGACAAAATCCCTTATTCTGGCCAGACAGTATATATATATATATATATATATATATATATATATATATATATATATATATATATATATATATAGGTTTGCTGTTAATATATTTAGGCCAGAACTGACCTTAATAGCAATTATAATTCTGTATGTCAGTAACTTGTAGAGACAATATTGATTTGTGCTCTTGAGGACTAAAAATTAAAAACAACAAGTTCCAAACAAATATTCTATACAGTTGGAATCACATCCACAAGATCCATATATACAACTGACCTGCAATTTTATTTAAGTGAGGAACCACCAACTTTTTTTCATTGTAAGGCCCTTGGCTAGAGTCAAGTTACTGTGATTTAAGAACGGAAAAGTGGTATATAATGCTTATCATCTAATATTTGAGACAAGACTAGGGTGATGCTGGCCTTAAGCATGCTACGTAACGTACCAGACAAATTTAGCGGTAATAATAGACAAACACAAAACGCTTCAGACAAAAAACGGGGACTGTTTTCTTGACACTATGTATGTGTGGTAAGCGAGGTAGTTTGATTACGGCTAAGCAAAGTCTCAGCTTAATGTCTTAACGAACAAAAGGATAAAGTATGATAATGCTCACGTTCTGCTTCCCTTAGTACTAAAGAAATAAAAGTAAACGTCGAGCGTTGGTTTGTAAAATTCAACACTACATGACACCACTAATCCTTTCGGGTGTAAATTCCGAAACTAACAGTTTCTAACCAGAAAAATCACACTGAAGTGGTCTTGCTTACAGAGGATTTGATGATACTATTGAGGATGTCACAGGTATTCAGTGTTTGACAACGCTTTTACCAGTAACACCTAATATATTTCGTTCCTACCCAGATAAATCAAAAGACAGAGTCGAGGAGATCGGAAGAGTATATTTGGCGATAACCAATATATCGGAATTCTCTGATCTAATCTGGCTAGCGACTGCGGTAGATGTTGAGCACGGCGTTACCACACGTGATCTGGTGCGGATGCATGACCGAGGGCCTTCAGCTAAATGAGTCCACTAAAACATCTTGTCAGCATCCAATGTCGAAAACTTAGAGCTATTTATTTTGGGTATTTATTTACCGCTACAGATCACTCCCCCCCTAGTGGGGCAGTGACGACCCTGAGAAGTGGCCAGCCAGAAGTTTAAACCCAACGAGTTTGTCGTTGGTAAACACTCTTCTGATAGCTTGCTAAGCTTAGCAGCGTCTGGTCGTCTTTATTTACTATATGGGACCGAGGTACAACATAGTAAAAAAGGAAAAAGTTACAACGAAATTTTCGACTCCTCGTAAACTGCATCGTTCTCTTCCATCTGTCCTGGAAAAGAAAAAAGGAAGTGTATGTGCATGTCGAAATACACCCGTATGTGCGTAAAAACACAATGTCGGCGAAAAAAATGGAAAATACACTCAAGCACACGTAATAGCGTTAAAAAAATGTTTTTTTATGTTTTGTTTTTTTAAATAAAAATATAAATATATAAGCATATTAAAATTGTCTTTTTTTTAAAAAAAATTATATATCGTAAAAAGAAAGATCGAGATAATATAAAATGTCGAGTAGTGCCTTACGTGCTGTAGTCGTTTGAATGTTCTGGAAATCTTACTCTTCTTCCAGAACGCGTCGTTTTAGGTTTTGTTTTCAGATACATTCGGAGTATCATCGCTGGTGTTGGTTGTCGCTTGAGGAATTATGAGTGTAGGAGTCGTGTTGTGCGATTGTACCGAAGGAAAGTCGACGTGAATAAGATTTCCTTCTAAACACGCTGCTTTTAAGCGATCGATGCTGATGCTATCGTTGGTTACGTTCTTATCGACTATATAGTACTTAGATTCACTTTGAAGAACTTTGAAAGGTCCTTCGTACGCTGGTTCGAATGGTCGTGGATGCGAGTCTCGACGAACGAAAACGTGTGCACTATATCGTAAGTTAGTTCGAACGAAAACATCAGTTGATTGAGGTCGAGTGGAAACAGGTTTAACTGAAAGCATTGCGTTTGTAAGCCTGTTCGTGTAGGAGGTTAGATCCATGTTCATTGAACAGGACGAAGGATCCACGAATTCTCCTGGAAGTCGAAGTGTCGTTCCATAAACGAGTTGAGCCACAGCGTATCCAATGTCGGCTTTCACTGCATTGTGAATCCCTAGTAAAACGAGTGGAAGAGCGTCCGTCCACTGTGAAACGTTTGCAGCTGATAGTGAAGCGTTTAGCTGTCGGTGAAAGCGTTCTACCAACCCGTCTGCTTGTGGGTGGTAGGCGGTCGTTCGGAAGCGAGTGATTCCTAAAAGTGTGGTCAGACGTCGGAAAAGATCAGATTCAAACTGACGTCCGCGGTCTGTAGTGATGGTTGAAGGGCAGCCGAAGTTTGCTACCCATCGTTCGATGAAGGCGCGAGCCACTGTTTCAGCAGTGATGTCCTTGATAGGTACTGCTTCTGGCCATCGAGTGAAACGGTCTACGCAGGTTAAGAGGTAAGAGTATCCATTTGAATCTGGTAAAGGTCCTACCAAATCCAGATGAACATGGTCGAAACGAGCATCGGGAGTTTTAAACAAGCCTAAGGAACATTTATTGTGTCTGATAACCTTAGATTTTTGGCAGCTTACACAGGAGCGTGCCCACTCCCTCACGTCTTTATTCATGCCAGGCCAGCAGAACCGATCTGCTATAAGCTTGGTGGTTGCACGGACACCTGGATGAGAAAGTTTGTGCAATGTATTGAAGACGTTGCGTCGATAAGGTTTCGGTACGATTGGGCGATCCCTACCTGTAGATGTGTCACAAAGTAAGGTTTCCTTACCCGTTCCCATCTGTTTGATGCGTAGCTTGAGTGTTGTAGATGATAACTCGTGCTCAAGATCAGTGTCTTTTTTTAAGCTGGGCGAGTTTAAGAAGATCGATTTCTTGGAAACTGTTCCAGGAAGTTATGCGAGATAAGGCGTCTGCAACTACATTGTTTGCTCCAGAAGTGTGTTGAATATCTGAAGTAAACTGCGAAATGTAGTCCAGTTGTCGAGACTCACGTGGTGAGTGCTTGTCTGAAGAGGAGCTCAAAGAGAAAGTAAGAGGTTTATGGTCAGTAAAAAGGGTGAATTCTCGGCCTTTGATATAGTGTTGAGAATGCCGTACAGCACAATACATAGCTAGGAGTTCCCTACCGAATTTGCTGTACCTCGATTCGGTGTCAATCAACCGTCTGGAGAAAAATGCCAAGGGTTGCCAGGAGTTGTTAACCCATTGTTGTAAGACGCCACCGATTGCCGAGTCCAATGCGTCTACTGCGATACTAATGGGTGCTTCGGTGTCCTGATATGCGAGCATCGTTGCTTTAGCGATCAGTTCCTTAACTGTGGAGAATGCTTTTCGTGTGGTGTCGTCAAAATTAATCGATTTCGCATTTCCACGAAGTTGGTCGGTAAGAGGTTTCATAAATAACGCGCATTTTGGTATGAAACGTCAATAGAAACTTACGAGGCCGTTAAACGTGCGTAATTGCTTGACGGTGGTCGGTCCTGGGCAATCCAGAATGGCCGCCACTTTGGTTCTAAGGTGTCGGATACCTTGAGCATCGATAGTGTGTCCCAGAAAGTCTAATGAGTCAGTTCCAATTTGGCATTTCTGAACGTTTACAGTAATGCCATGTTTTTGTAGTCGTTCTAAAACAAGATCCAGATGTGTTTCTCTGTCCGGACTTGCGATTAGGCAGTCGTCAACATACGCATGTACGAAGTTGAGACCTCGAAAAACGTCGTCTATGAATCTTTGGAATGTTTGAGCAGCGTTCCTTAGGCCGAAAGGCATTCGTAAAAATTCACAGAGTCCGAAGGGAGTTATGATAGCTGTTTTCGGTATGTCGTCAGTAGTCATAGGTATTTGGTTATACGCTTTAACCAAGTCGATTTTCGAAAAGACAGTTGTACCTTTCAAGGTAGCTGTCAAATCGAGAATGTGAGGCAACGGGTGACGATCGGGAATGGTTTTTGCATTCAATCGCCGATAGTCGCCATTTGGACGCCAATCGTTGCTGTCCTTTTTAGGGACCATGTGCAACGGAGATGCATATGGGCTATTTGACGGTCGTATGATTCCTAAGTCTATCATGTGATTGAATTCGTTTCTCGCTAACCTTAGTTTTTCAGGAGCTAGTCGTCGTGCTTTAGAAAATACAGGTAGTCCTGTAGTCGTGATGTGATGTATAACGTTGCTGGTTACACACGGTAATCTCGGTTGCGTTTGTTGTATCCCAGGGTACTTATCGAGTAGTGGCTGATAGAGTGGGTCTATCCTATGCTTAATTGTGACTGGGGATAATTCGCAACCAAAAAAAGAAGTTACGCAAACAGATAAATTAGTGTTTCCGTCTACTAGCCTCCATTTTCGCGTACCAATGAGTAGATTATGGTGTTGTAGAAGGTTCATACCAACGATTGGCATGGAAACATCTGCAACAACGAAAATCCAGTGAATGGGTTTGCATAAACTCACGTTAAGGTAAACGTACCATTTACCGTACGTAACAATAAGCTTTCCGTTTGCCGCCTGTAAGTTTAAAACCGATTCGTGAAGCCGGTCGTTAGGATTTGCTGGGAGAACGCTAACTTCTGCGCCAGTGTCGACGAGGTAGCGAACTCTCGTTGTCACATCTGTGACGTATAACAGACGGCTATGTTCGCCGGCTACGGTTGCCGTCAACGCGTGCCGGCTTGGAAGTTTCCCGAGTTGTTTTTCGAGTCACTCGGTTTCGTGTTGGGAAAATTGCAGGGTTTTCTGCAATTTTTGGAAAACTTTCCGTACTGGTTATGATACCAGCACCAGTCGGGGTTATCTGTCTCTCGTGGTCTAGAGACAGATTGCTCACGTGAAGTGCTTCTACGTGGAATGCGCGAGCGACTACGGTCGGTACGAAGGTTAAGATAACGCGTAAGTGTATGACATAACTCCGTTATGTCATTCTGAGTCGTTTGAGGCTTTTCTTTGACTGAAAATACCTCGGTAGTAGAAGATTTGGTAATTTCTAAAATACGATCGGCAGATGCAGCCAGTTCGTCTAAGGCGTTGTTCTGAAACGAAACCAGAACCGCTCGCACCTGTTGGGGAAGTTTTGACAAGAAAAGTTGTTTGAATAGACCTTCGTCGAAAGTTCTTGGGCCTATAACCTCTCTCATCCGTTGCAACATGTCCGTCGCAGAACCGTGTTGCAGGTCGATGTTATTGAAGAGTTGATCTAACCTTTGTCAGTTGAAACGAAGGTGGGGACAGGGTCTTAAGCTTGAGTACTTTGGGTGTCTGTTCAGTCATGATGAAATATGAAGTATGATAATGAACGAGGGGAAAATATACGTATATCCAAGAAAAAAGCACGAAAAAAATCACAATGTTTAAAAAATAAGAAATAAGGCAATGATGTATAAAAAAATCCCAAAAAGGAACAGACAAAC